ATGGATATTTTTCTTACAAAAACGCATCGAGTCGCTACAGGAGGACTTTGTTCGCTCCCCGGAGCCATGTGAGACACTTTTTTTATGGATGGGCGATTTTTATTTAACTTGTTTTGGACTGAAGCATGCAGCACCCGCTGAGTGGCATTAAACAGCTTGATATATTTTAATATAACTACGACTGGATTCGTCTGAAAGAAGAAAGTCATATACACCTAGGATGCCTCGGGGGTGAGTAAAACTCAGCTTAATTTTCATTTTTGGGTGAACTAACCCTTTAAGCTATAAGAAATCATAAATTCGTCGGTTTGTTTTATCTTCATTTACTGCGCGCCTCTGATCTGCACGCATTTCTCCAGCACGCGCTTTTGCCTGTCTTTCACAGAGAGCCACGCGCTCACATAATAAAAAAATTAACGGTCATTTTCGTGCTGGATGATTACTGACATACAGCGGGGTGATCATATCGGAGTAGAGGTTAGATTAACGTTAGAATAACGTTCTGGGAACCAAAAACTAACGTTAGGGGAACATTATAATAAAGTTATGGGAACGTTAGATTAACGTTAGAATAACGTTCTGGGAACCAAAAACTAACGTTCTGGGAACGTTACGAAAACTTTCCTGGCTAACCAAAAACAAACCATAAAAAAAATAACGTTCTGGGAACCAAAAACTAATGTTCCGGGAACGTTCTGGGAACCAAAAACTAACGCTCTGGGAACCAAAAATTGTTAGCTGGGTAGTGTTCAAACATTTTTCCTACCACATGACAAGCTAATAACATGGTTGTCAGCATTAAAATGTATAATTGCTGCTTTTTGCAGTGCAAATTTTGTTTGTGATGAAAATAACAGTACGTTTTCGTTACTTTACCTACGGATCAATGCATTTCTTACAGATTTCTGCTCATTCGAAATCGGATACGGATGAAGTAGCCCTGTAAGATCACATTTGTTTGAATGCATTATTGAGAGAGTGATTGCATGTGAATAAGTGTTATTTAAATCATGCTTTCAGCTGAAAATATTCAGTATCTAGAAGGAACAAACAAATTCCTTGAGAACTATAACTTCCCGATCATTGCCGTCATCATAGCCTTCACATTCTTTCTGATTTCAGTGATCCTTCTCTATCAAGCTAGCTAAATGTTTAACATGTGAATTCTTGCTAAATATGCAGTTATATTACGGGCCGTTGGCATGAATTGTACTCGTGATGGAGCGGTGGTGGAGCGCTCTTGGAGCGAGTGAAAACCACAACGCTCTGACTTTTAAAAAATCCGCTCCTCACTCCATTCAAAATCACACCGCTCCACTCCGCGCTCCGCTCACATACTCTGATTGTGAGTAACTGTTGCTGTCATGACAGATCTATTTCAGAACCAGTCGCTATCAAAATAATCTGACTGCGGGCCCGAGCCAGATATTATTGCTGGCGGGCCAGTTTTGGCCCGCGGGCCGCCTGGTGCGACCACTGCCCTACAGGTTTGGAACAACATGAGTGTGATTAAATTACCTTTTTTATTTTCGATTGAACTATCCCTTTAAGTGGAAATAAAACTAGATCTGGTGTAAAATATCCAGTAAACAAACAAATTAATCAACAAAGAGAAAAAAAAAAAGTCACTCACTGTTTTACCAATGAAACTGCCTAAAAAAAGTCTGAGTAGCAGAATGGAGAGTGAACTCCAGCTAACAGAAGTATAGACTTTAAGGACTGCCTTAATTCCAAAACTGTGATGTGGGCCTCAAGAAGCTCGGAAGGAGAAAGCGAAAGATCAATTTTCATCAGCGCTTCAACAAGTCTGCTCTTCAACCAGTAATCAATAGTGAGCTGATTAGTGTCTCTTACAGTGATATTAAAACATGACCAGCAGCTTAAACAACTGTTTAACCATGCTGTCAAAACCTGTGAGCTGCTCCAAATGAATCTGAATGTTTTATGGCAAAGCTGGATTGATGGCTTCAAGGTGTACGAGAGGGCCAGTGTGGCTGTCTGGTGTCAGTGAGGGTGGGAGTTACTGGCTCTAAGCCACTTTTATGCTGACGCTTATTATGATTCAAAGTGGTCTGATATGTAGAAAGCTGATCTGTGCATTGGGATCGGGGGACACTTTCCTTAGGGAATGTGGATAATCTTCTGTCACACCAGCTGGGTTCATACTGATGAAAATATTAGACCGCCATGACCTCGTCTCTTCTCTATTGTGTTTCTCTAAATAGTGCAGATTCCCCACTTTAAATTGGTATAAAATCCCCAATCAGCAGCTACAAAACTGGTGTAGGATTTACTTTAAAACAATTTACGCTCGGGAATTGCTGATAATTTAACAAATAATTACAAAGAAATTGCAAGAAACACATTGAATTAAACAAAATTTCGAAGTAGAAAGAATGAAATTGTATTTTCTTGATTTTTTTTTCTTTTTTTTGGCGGTGTAATAAGCAAAATAAATAAATGATGCTAGACAAAGCAAACATGTTTATTGAAAGGACTATGACTGGTGACTATTACGATACACCGCAACCAAGGTGGAGACAGGTTCGGAGACTCGTTCGCCTCCAAAAGCAAGGGCAGCGAGGCATTGTGGGGCTTTATTTGCTCACGTAAGGAAACAAAGAGCTCATAAAAGGGAGAACTCCCATGATGCCCATTGTTATGGTATCTAAACCCCTCCCATTCCCCCATCATCAGCACTGATAAATACACACATATACAAATACACACATATCATCCCTCCTCCTGCTCCATCAATCGCTTCCCTTGGCAACGGTAATGCCGGCAGCCAACCGCCGACCCCCAGGGACCCTCGGGAGTCAGAAGCTTCCAGATTGATTGGAATAAACATTGTTGTTGACTTGCTCTACTCTTCAAAGAAGATCAAACAACTGCCCTTAGTCACACCTGTTCTCCCGGTGTGACGCACGTGCTTGCCTCCTGCTACCGTCATCTTCTGAAGAGACTATCTATCTCGTCGCCAGCGTCGGGCTATGGAAACAGCGCCGGCAAAAATAAAGCAGCCGATAAATATAATATCAAAAAGCATCGAGCTGCCGCAATGTGGTGCGTGTGACGCGTGCGTTTGGAGAAGTGTGTTGGTGGGGGTGCAGTGAAGGGCACAAAAAGGGAGGGAGCGAGTGTGAGAAACAAATCAAAGGATACAAGGAGGGGGGAGTCTGGGGAAGGAGAGGATGGGACTGTGAGTCTAAATACGAATTAAGGAAAGGGGCTAAAAAAAACGCACGGAACCCCACCTGCAGCTTCCTCTCTCGCTTTGTTTTTTATTAATAAGAGTCTTGTCAATCGCAAGGGATGTGTTGCTGATGGACACTCAGACAGTGAGAAACGGGCAGCTGAGTGGGGGGAAGGAGGACGGCAGAGATTTCGGATTAGAAAATGCCATCTTTTCTCCCCTTCCCTTTTTCCAGGACAAATAGGTCCCATAGGGAGAGTTTGCATTAATATCGCTTTCTCTCTCTCCTCGCCTCCCTCTAGTGCAGGGAATTAATGAGGGGGGGTACCTGCTACGATGCTGGCCAGTTGCAAGGTCCGACCGATGGGGTAGATGCTGCGTGCCTGTGCGATGGCCGCTGCAATTTTCCTGGTGTGCCGCTCCTCCCCGTACGCGGCCAGCACGGATGCAAGCGCCTGTTGATCCAAGGCGTTGACCACGTCAGCCACGCAGGGCATGTCGGGGTACCTACGCACAAAGAGGAGCCCAATTAAGCAGCTTGACGTCACAAGTTCCTGGCTGACAGAAGCCAAGCCTGACAGCTCTAAGACACCAGTGAAAACCCCTCCCACCCTTCCCACTCTGGGAGATGTGGGCTCGAGATCTATAAAAAGAGAGAGAGCGTGTGCACATGAGAGAGAACAGGAGGGAGAAACGGTTAGCGACAAATATAAAAATATCAAATCATGAACTGAATTATGCATTTGCTTTTTCTTTCTTTAGGAAAATATGTGCGCACACTCCAGGAAGAACAAAGATACCAGGATAAATCAGACCAAGTTACACACCTACATAAAGAGGAAATATATTAGCTTACTAATACGAATAAAACTTAATATTTCATGTAGTGAGTTTCAGTCGGCAGCTGTTCAGTACACTTGCACATACGTACTGTGATTCATATACTCCCAGTGATTCATATATTCCCTAAACATCTTGACTCACATTTTCGAGTCTCTATATTTGTACTTATGTAATTATTTTCTGAGATTTAGGGTTGATACCTTGGATACTGACTGGCACATTTCTTTGCCTCTGTACTTATGGAAAGTGAGGGAATAATTGACCGCTCAGGTACTCACTGGTACCGGAACATGTGAGAAGTGAGCATGTGCAGAAGCAGTTTCAGTCATTCGTCACCTGGAGTCAACTTTATTCATGAAAGGTATGCAACACTGACAAACCTTTCATCATAACCTTTCTTTTGGAATCAACGTCATTCTGGATCTCACATTATCCTTGAACAAGTCTTCTCCTATTTAGAACGTCATTTACAGAATGTGGGCACAACTAAGAGCACAGAATGAGTAACTCAAACCGATAGACATGCTGATTAATGCAAAGTATGCTCTGTTCTTCTTGAAGGCCAGCTAGTGTTGGCTGACTGCATCATGTCATCGTAAAGTTGAATTCTCGCATTGGTTTTTGTGATGGAACAAAGATAAAGCGTATTCAGATACCGTGGGCAGGACCTAGATCAACCTGCACTATATCTCGCCCTTTCTCTTTTTCCTTTGGGTCTCTCTCTCCCTCCTTCTCTTTTTTCAACCATTTCATCTCGCCCCCAGAAAAAAAGTTCAGAGTCAGTTACGGTAGGTGGGATTTCCACCTCATTATCACAGTGAAAAACTTTGACAAAACTTCCTAATAAGAGAGGCCTCTAACTCTTCTTCAAATCAGAGGGAAGCAGTGGTTTGCATGAGAGTCATAAGAGATTTAGAGATGATGGCGATGATAAAACACCACTCTAGGTGTTTCCCAAACGCGTGGCCTGGGAATACCCAGTACTGCATAGTCTGTGTGTCTTCCACACTTGAGTCCACTCCTCTGCTCATTAGTAGAGACTCCATGACCTGAAATGCATGTGTCAGAAAAAAACATCCAAAAAGACGTGCATTGTTGGGAGTACTCCAGACCCAGGGTTAGGAAACACTGCTCTAGTTTCTTTAAAGGGAAAGGGGCTTGTGGCTAGAAGGGATACAGCTATGGCCAGGAAGTGACTCAAAATCTCACCAGATGAAAAGGATGAAAGTGAAAGAAAACATCAAATAAAAATAAATTAAACGGACTGTAAAGACGACGACTAGCGAACTAATCAGCCTACGTTGTGGCAAAGTCCTTTGAACCAAAATCTCTTAAAATCTCGCTGGATGGACAGGAAAAAATTAAACGGACATTGAAGAAGACAACTAACACTTCCGGCCGTAGCTGTATCCCTTCTAGCAATCAGCGTGAAAGAGTGGGAAGGCTTTATTAAAGACAGCAATCAGATCAAACTGACATGTGGTTCCCTAGCCTAAATAGTGAAGAAACACATCTAAGTACCGCACCACAGATTATAATAATATGTTATGTCAAAAAATGGTCTATTTAACAGGGGTTTTCGCAGCACTACACATTGTCTATAGCGCCTTTCACACATACAGTCTTTACTGTAGGAAAATTACGGGTAAATTACCGTTAAGAGATCATGTAACATTACCAGTAAATTGCCTGTAATGTGCTCTGTGTTAACGTAGAACGAGATTACCGGTATGAGCACGTACGAGTTCAGAACGCGCTGACATAAGACGTCTACTCTGGGCCAATCATAACATTCTGACACAGATGACACATTTACTTTGCACTGTGTAGTTCAGTTTGAAGTCGTCTAATACGATGTCTCTGGACCAAAAGCGGCTGCATGAATGTTAATGTTTCACACAAAAATGAAAACACCAACAAAAACATTGACTGCTTATACGCCTCCATGTTTACAAACATAACATAGGGAGGCGAAGCAATTTAGAGGTAATTTCCAGTTAATAATGATGTCACAGAATTTAACGGTATTTTGAAACTGATGTGTGAATGGTGCTTTAGTGGTAAAAAGATGGAACGTCATTGCCTGTCTGAACAGCGCAATTTTGTATTTACCGATAAAATGGTTCCGGTAATTTTACAGCAATTTGCTGGTATTACTGCGTGAAAGGAGCTCATGTCTCCCTTATCAGTCACACCCAGGTCAGAAAACATTATATAAAATTATTACATAATTCTTAGAGTTAATATCCATCTTCTATTATTATTTTTATTATTATATTTTCATATGGGTAAACTTCATGAATAAAATGTGACTGTTCATACTTTTCAATTTTGAGAATGGAAAAATAGTTAAACATCTGCTGCTTTAATAGAACTATCACTCTAACAATTATATAGAAAAATTTAACCAGAATATAACTGGTTTATAATATTATGATGTTTTAGGTGTTTTTTTCTCCTTTTTGGAACATAAAAAAATATGCTGTACTTTTAGAAAAGAGATGCATAATGTTACTTAAAAAAATAGCTTTAAAGTTTTCCTTTTTCTGCAAACTATTTCTGTAAACATTTAGTACCATTTCACTGTTTTACTCCTGCTGCTTAATCAAATACTGTTGAAAGACAATTAAGACATTGGGAAATAATAATATTAATGTAGAAAACACATTGTGAAATGGGTCCTGGATTTTGTGACACCCTGCCAATGTCTAAACCTAAACTTTATTACTCTAAGGGGCGATCACACTACATGTTTCTTTCCATTCACTTCCATTTATATTCATGCGAATGCTGGGAATTACGGTGGCCGTGAGAGCTCAACGTGCTGCAAATGAAAAAACACATGTGTGACGAGTGGGGGCGGGGCTGAGAGCCGTGGGAACGGAGCGAGGCCGGTGGAGTGATTGCTAATGAGGGACACCTGCACCCACTCACCGGTCTCGAGTCTCACGGAGGAGCTCCGGAAGGATAAAGGAGGAGTGACTACAGTGTTGGACGAGAGAGGACCAGGCCTGGATTTTATTTTGTGTTTTGTGTGCGGCAGTCGTCCGCGAGGGGCTGCCGCTTTACTTTCGTTTTGTGTTTGTTTATTTGATTAAAGTTTTGTTTAAGTGTTCGCCGGTTCCCGCCTCCTTCTTCCCGTGACTACGAACTTTGTTACAACATGCAAATAGAAAAAAACACCAACAAATTAAGAAAACATCTTCATCAGTTTGACAACACGTGCTGCAAATACTCACCACACAACCAAATACAGAAACGTGCTGCAAATACTCACAGACCACAAAGGAAATGTTTAAGGGAACAAGTGACGAACCTGGCTGAGACATGTTTATCAATGTTTGCTCTGAAAGGTGAGATTTTTGTTTAACATCCTGATCATATAATTCCTTAGCTTTTTGAATATCATTAGCCTAAAGCTGACGAAATACACAATTACTATTATTAATAATTATTAAAGATGGGGTATGTATTTTTTCAAAAACGCTTTAGACAACTGAGTCGGGCCGAGTACCAAAACAAACTTGTAGCCAATCAGCAGTAAGGGGCGTGTCTACTCATGATGCGGAAGAGAGAGCACTCAGTGCACAGGACGGACATTTGCCGAGCCGAGAGACAACAGAAAGATAGAGATGGCGGATAAAAAACAAAAAAGAGAAAAACGTCTGCGGAACAAAGGAAGGCTTACGATAAGGCAAGAAGTAGGACCCGTGTAAATATCGGATCAGCTTTCCAGCGCTGGAGAGAACTCAAGGAGCGGGAAGGCCTGTGATCGGACGCCGAGGTTGCTTTCATCTCGATTGGTGAGTAACATTGGTTTTGCTTTGTTTCACAGAACTAATATATG